GTTCCGTCACAATAATAATATATCAAAATTTAAAATCAATTGATTGAATAGCTGTTTAATTATGAAATATTTAAAAGGGTAGGTTGCTGAGGCGGTGTGGGTTTTGAGGGTGGCCCGAAAGTGGGGTAGTTGACTTATTGGTGATTATAGATTCTATAGAATCTAAATGGTAGAAGAATAAAATAATAATTTACTATATTTTATTGTTTTGATTTTGGCTTATAGATCATCAATTATTTGCCGAGTACATTTGAAAGGGATACTTGAGATCAATCAAGTGCTTTTGGAAAAGGTAAACATGGTGAATACAAGGAAATCAATCTCGATATTAACAGTACTTATTTGATCCAACCCTTTGGACCACCCCAAGTGCCCTTAACCATATATTTCTCATATACCCAAGGAAAGAAATCTTTCTTTAGATAATAAAACTCCCTTCGTGGAATCGCTTGATCGATACCGAACCATTTATTGAATGTCTCCTTTGGTACCCCACCATACTTGAACTCAGCAAGAAGTACCTTTCCATATTCAGTCAAGAGAGGACACGATGTATAACCATCATAAACTTCCTCCGGATCTCTACCATCAATGGCCAAAAGTAAGTTACGGACCAGAACTGGTGCTTCAGCAGTAATGGCCGCGACTGTCTTTGAGGTTGGCAAACTTGAAGCATCACCAGCTGACCAGACATTATGGTACTTCACATGGCGTGTAGTTCCCGCATCGACGTTGACATAACCAGCATCATTTGCGAGTAAACTGTTTTTAACAAAGTCATGCGGTCGATTCTTTGGTGCAACGTGTAAAAGATCAAAATCTCTCGTGACCTGACCTTGCCCATCCGGACGAGTAAAAGTCGCTGCGTTGCCATTGATGGCGGTGAGGTCGTGCTGAAACAAACCTTCAACGGACCTTGCTATCCTCAATTCCTCAAGTTTGGCACTATATTTAGGTACACCAAACATTGTTGGAAGACCTGTTGCAAAAGTGATATTTATTGCTGAACGAGAGGAATTTTCGATATCGTATAAACCTGCACGTTTCCAATGATCCAATGCGAGCCACATTATCTTTTGTGGTGCACCAGCACATTTGATAACACCGGCTGGTTGAGTAAAAATGGCTTTTCCTTTCTGAAGTTTCTTTATTGCAGGAAAGACCTTATCGCAATGATCATATTGATATATGGAAGACACAAGAGAGTCCGGGTTTTCAAGAGCTTCGGACAATCCCTTTACACTTCCGACGTCCACTGTTATACCTGGAGCGACAACGAGTTGGTCATAATTGACTTTATCACCATTCTTCAATGTGATATAATTTTCATCTGGGGAAAACCCATCCACGCCAGTATCATAAAACCTAAGTTTCGGATCAATCAAACTTTCCAGAGGTTTTCGGAGACTCTCCTTTGTCTTGAGACCACCTCCGACAAGAGTCCAACCAGGTTGATAGTGATGCCACGTGGCCGGATCGACGATAGCAATATCATCTTGTTGGAATTTTCCATGTCGAAGGAGTTGATGACTGATGGCAAGACCAGCAGAACCTCCGCCGACTACCACGATTTTATGATTTCTGTTTTGGACCACAACAGGTGATACTGTGGCGAAACTTCGAGTTGTTCGGACAAATTGAGCCCTGGTGATGAGACGTATAGAAGTGAACATTGCTTTGATTTCGTCGCTTGCTCTAATTGATAGCAAATTTAAAACGAAAGACTGAATATGGTTGAATGGATCAGGAACACTGGTTAATCAAGCCCGCTGAAAGGAATTTTTGTGGGTTGTTCACAAACCTGATTACTCAATATTATTTATTAGTCAGCATCACGATCACGCCATCGTGACATCGTGACAGTATATTCACTCTCACAAGAGGATTTACTATAATTACTATAATAACAAGGCTTCCAAAGTAATAGATAGAAAGATCTAACCTCATATATCAGAGAAACCAACGAATTTAGTCGGGACTCTCCGGGTAAGGCGAAGTATATGAAATAAATTAGGTGGTAATTCCCATTCGTTATCTCCTTCATATTATAGTTGGGATTTGATGATTGTGTAGTTGAGCGAGCCGTTTTGCCTCTACTCTGCTTCCGCAGATTCGGTGCTAAGAAAAGAAGAGGAACATTATGAGATCTTATTGTTTGCTTCATTGTTCTTGTTATGTTCATGTTCATGTTCTCATATTCACCGTCCACATTCTAAATCATATTGCATACGATACGGGAGGTTAGTTCATTTCACTCGGGGGGCGAGGGGTGGGGGTAATTGGTCCTATCAATGCGTTGTATAATTCAAAATACCATTGAAAATTTGATACTATTTGCTGCGGTTGGCTTGACCTAACTTTTCAGCGCGTGACGAAAACATGGAAAGATAGTAAAATAATCTAAATGCACTATGACTTTGCTTGGATACAACTGAAGCGTCAATTCGATGAATACGCGATGAGGGCTGAATGAGGCACAATATTCTTCAGTAAGTGAGGAAGAGCGTTCAAAATCCAATCATCCAAAGATTTCGTTTTCATTTACCTACCATCGAGGTTAAAGGATCAGGAAATTCAAAGAAGTGTCCTTATAGTAACTCATATTGACTGGGAGAAAATAACCTCAATTTGTGGTGGCCGGTGGGCAACTCGGCGGTGAAATGGTCACATCTGTGAGCGACATGGTTAGCAAGCAAATCTCTGAGACTTATTGAATGTGTTCACCTTTTGGATTCATAACTGTTCACCATTTGGGTCCAGTTGTGATGCTCTTCTAACCAAAGAACAGAACATGTGTGAGCAGATGTCCATGGCGGGAACGAGCTTGATAGAAGGTGTTATATATACTATGAGGTAGAAACACCGACCTCGTCCGATGATGCGCCAATGAAAGAAGCGTGAACATTGGTTCGTGCGAAAATCGACCAATTTTGGTTATGGGCAGCATCTCCTACTTTACTTGCAAAAAAACGATATTATTGATAGGTTTGGCGGGTTGATAGGGCTTTGCCTCGAGGCAAATACGTCCCTTTCCAACTCCTTCCACCGTGACCATCAATCCAGCAAAACGCCTGCTCTCAATTGTAAATTCTAAAACTGTAATGATGTTTTTGAGATAAGGAAACAGCCAATCAAAATCGGGTCTGCACACCAATAGTCGTATACCGTTGGATGTGATCGTATATATAGTATGTGGTGTAGAGGCTCTCTCTCGATGGGTGAACTACAACCCTTTCTCATGAGAATCGTCTTCCTGGGGATTTAATCTTCTGCAATGAAGCGGGAAAACGCGTTTCGTCTTCCCAGGAAACATAGAACGCGACTTTATCTCCTGCTGTTCCCAAGAATAGCGACTGGCATGAAATGAAGCATTGCTCAAGCTTCATCGCAAATAATAAATTAAATGCCACGGTATGAACTCGGCCATCAACTGCGTTTGTTCCTATCAGAAAGATCGTCCAAAAATATCTGAGCAACTGCGAGCGTAATCGCGACAATGATGACTCTCAAGTGAAACCTTCTGTTCGCGCAGTATTCTGTTGTAATGATTTCTTCACCCCTTATTGAAATTCGCGTCGTAAAGATAGGTTCATTTGATATCGCGATTATGCGGATCGATTGCAATCGCAGATTCTTCCAAGAGGTTGATCGGAGTTCGGTTTGTGGTTGGTTATCTTCGAGATGCGAAGACAGATTTCGCAGATTCGCAGATTCTCCTACCTCCTTCCTTCATATTAGGAAATGTTTGTATGTTTGTATGTTTCCACCTTCCTCCTCGATAACGGCCAACTGCTTGAGATGGCCTGTAATGGCCTGTACTCCGACCATTCAAGAGATCATTCGCAATGTAGACCTGAAACATAAAATCCATCGCATTACGCTATGATGCCAAAATGGATCTCAGGGTGCTATGAGTGACTAAATTTCAATGACCACAACTTTTGGGTTCCTCATCACTGTCACGAACCAAGTACCCTGGGGGTTTTTTCATCTCTTCGGCATCTATGATTGGAGCAGAATTCTCCAGGATCAGCTGATATGTTTACAGTCCGATATATTTATCGGCCGGATAGCATTATTGACGCGACGTTGTTCATGTAACAATCGTGGTGATCGATTTGAATGGAAAGATAGCTCATCCATTGCCGCAAGTTTATATGAAAGTATTTACGAGGTCAAGTTGTACCGTACCAACTCCACTCCAATTCTTCTGTCACACAAGGCAAGGGGCAGTTTATCGCATCTGCTCGACGAACTCCACGATAACGAGTAAGAGTGGATGGAGTGTTTATTGATGCAATGTAGGAGTGACTATCCAAAGTTTCAACGAAGTCGCCCTCCATGCTCAGTGGGATGACGTGAGGGGAGTTGTCAATGCTTAGCTACAAAATCGAGATTTTATTCGTCGCTCATTATTTCGATTATTTCGTAAGTCGGGTCCGATCTGTAGATATGAACAACGCAGGCACAGGTACAGGCATGTCCTTGTATTGATATTTACCCCTCAATTCGTCAACCGCTACTGTGATATTCTATAGTTTCGAGTCTTTACATCAACAAACTGTACCTCTACGAAAGAAACAAAATTAGAGGCCCTGAGTTTTTCTTAATTTCAACACCAGATTCATCAACAACGATGAATACCAAAACCATTCACGTCCCCCATCTGGGAGGAACAGAAGTAGGGTGAGCTATGAAACCATGATAATCTCCTCCGCATCCTCATCATCGTATAATCGTCCAAACTTCGAACTGATATCCATCTCATCTCACAGTTATCAAATGCCCAAGCCATACGATCCCTCCAAACCGACTCTCATTCTCGTAAATTCCTTTACGACGTCGTCTGAACTTTATCGCCAGCAATTTGACAATGCAGAACTAAACGCAGCAATGAATCTCCTCGCCATCGAACCATTAGGTCATGGACTCACAAAGACCAAGGTCGAGAATTGGACTTAGTATGTTATTTTCCATCCCCTCCGGCATCCGTATCTCTCTTCAAATATCTTCATGACCTTCGTGTCTTTCGTACTAGAGCATCACATTGCAAGATGAAGACTGATACATGTCAAGTTGGGATACTGCTATTGCAAATATCCAGATAATAGACGCTCTCTCCATCGACCACGCATTCGTTCTCGGCACTTCTCAAGGAGGCTGGATTGCCGTTCGCATGGCGCTCATTGCACCCCACAGGATCCAAGGTGTCATTCCCCTTGGCACATCTCTAGATTACGAGTCTGAACGAACGCGTCTTCATGGTTGCTGGAACCCTTTGGTTCCATTGACGAAACACATTGAAAGTTGGACTGTCAAGCCCGGATTGTTGACGGAGGATTTCGAGCCCGATACTGAGTATTGTGATTTTTTAATTGATATAGGATTCAATGAGTGTTCGACGGACGTGAGAGAGTTTTGGAGAAAATCAATCAAACACACATATCGCGGTGATGAAGGAAGGAAAAGAATTCGAATGGCAGCTATAAACCTCAGAGATCGCGACGGGTTACATGGGCGCTTGACAGATGTGCGATGTCCATTTCTGTGGTTACATGGTACATCGGACGCGGTATATAGCATTTCGAACGCACAAGAAGAAATCAAATTGCTTGTTAATGCTGCTAGTAAAGAGGTGATCAGTGTGGAAGGGGGGGCACATTTCTTGAGTGCAACTCATCCAGATGAGGTGGGAAGGGCGTTGATTGAGTTTGTTGGGAAGCACAAGAATTGGAAATTGGAAAACTAAAGATCTTTGTCAATAAGAGTTAGTTGAATGCGATTATTTGACAACAGCATTTCTATAGATTGTCCCAGGCATCGAAGTAATCGCGTAATCGCAAAACATCATAGTTCTTACTTTGTATTTACGTTGCGTTATATCTTCGCAGCATTCCCGTTCATGCCGCTACTATTAACCGGTTGTTGACCTAGACCAACAAATTGACCCTCGTTGGCCTTTGCAAATACATCATCAAACCTATCAAGGGCAACTTGATAACAATCAAAACCATAAATCTTCTTTTGGACATCAGCATCAGCCCATTTATCTGGAACCGCACCTCCATCCTGCTTCAAGGAAGCGAACCGCTTGTCTCTCTCTGTCTTTGCAGCTCCACCTCCTAGATGTAAAGCTCGTCCGGATTGTGCGGCTAGCTGAACAAGAGTTTCGGCACGTTCTTTCCTTACGCTTTCATATACGAGTAAAGATTTATTGATATCTGATGAATCATTGGATGGACATTTAGAAAATACTGCGCCTAGAACGCCGGCTTGTGCGGCGCCCTGGGCTAGATGAGGAAGAGTTGGATGGCAGGTATCCCCGACTAGTGCGATAGATCCACGGACCCAGGTAGGAAGAGGACTGTGGACGCGGAGTTTCCATTCGCATACTTCACCATCAGGAACGAGGTTTAACATACGTTGGACTTTGGGGCAGAAGTCCGAGAAGATATTCAGCATAGACCGGGTAGGCAATGATATGTCTTTTCTCGCCAATCTATCTTGTGACCTTATCTCCATTGATAAGTTCCAAAAGCTCGGGATCGTTTTCCATCTCCTCTCGCTTTAGCATAATTCTATATGACGCTTGATGTGTGTCGGTAATATGAGCGTCATGGTTTAATTCAGACAGAATCTTCAATCGAACAATAGATTTTATTCCATCTGATGCGAGTATGACATCTGCTTCGATAGTATAGGAATCTCCTTCGCGTGGTTTAACTCTCAAGAAAGGTTTGGGGCCAAAAGACTCAACAGCTTCGGCTTCTACAGAGAAGTGGAATTTGATGTTGTTTTCTTTCTTACAAGCCTCGTACATTGCGCCAGCAAGTAAGGATCGGTGACCAACCATGTGGGGGTACTTATAAGTATCCCTTATGTACAAAAGATCCACGTGAGCCAGTTCAGTATCGGAATCGCCCTCTATTCTTTATCAGCTTCATGGTTCGGTAGGAATGTGTGGGTAGAGGACGGTAGGGTTAGACGAGATCCAATAGTAAGTCTCGAGCCTGGTGAGAATAAGTAAAGAGAGGAATAGCACATACGTCTGATACTAGTCTCTTTCAGATCAATAGCTTCGGCCTCAATCTCTTTCCAACAGCCCAATCTGTCCAATATTTTCGCCATGTTTGGCGCCAATTGGATTCCAGCGCCGACAAACCCCAAATTTGACGCTGTCTCATACACTTCGATGTTTGTAAACCCCTCCTTGGCCAATGACAATGCGCAAGATAACCCTCCCATGCCTGAGAACTGTAAGTAGATGAAGTGGAAGAAGAAACGAAACGAAATATCTTACCAGCCCCAATAACCACGATGCGTGATGCTCTACGTGGATTAGGTGATTTATTGGAAGTGGGAAGGGGACATTCAGAGATTTCCTCGACTCTGTAAAAGACGATCTTGCGCAGCGTTTATGAATGACTTAAAAGGTAGCTTTGATATCGGGACAGAGTGACGAGGGATGAAGGGATGAAGCTTCTCCAAATACAATCCACTAAAGGATTTCCATCAACACCCCCCGCACACGTGATTGCGCGTCTCTAAGATGCTACGTCCATTTTGTTGTACTCCGAAACTCGTTCAAAGATCAGATGAGGGCGAAAGAAGGAGTATCGTATCGGTATCTAGATGATGTAAGGCTAACATTATTTGAGGTCATGGTCGAGAAGTCAGATCACTTGAGACGGAGCAGGGTAGACTAACAGACTAAATAAAGCATTATTCCAAATAAATTCAACAATTGAGAATTCCTCCATCCACATTCCATCCATTTATCCAACTCTTTGCCCACATTTATCCGACTTCGACATCCTATTATCCTGCCGCCCTTGATCCATACGACCCATTTTATACCCGAAATCGAAAAGAGAGTTTTTATCACTGACATCTTCCAGCCACACAAAAGTTATGATTGCCATAAAGGCAGTTACCCACCTGACCCAGCTTGAGAAATTCGCAGAATCGTTAGATCCGAATCGACTCTTCCTAATCTTCATATCATCCCCCAAAACTCTGATCTCGGGACCTCTCTTCAAATCCGTGAGACTGATGTTCTAACTTCCATAGAGCACCTTCTTTTCGTCCATCATATAATTGTCCAATCCATTTAACCTCTCCACCAATCTCTTTGACCTTCTCATATCCCTTCAAATTGTTTCGTGAAAGATCCCGGACCTTGCATCGCTAGGTAATCCCCGAAGAGTTTCAATAATAAGGTCTGCTTGTTGCATGCTCAACCTTTCCTCTCGTTTTTCCTTGTCCGCATCCCCACCCACTAATTCATACTTCATCGCTTTCAGTCCTAGGTATAACGCTGCAGCAAGAAAGGATCCTACGGCAGGTCCAAGCCAGTAAATCCAATGATAAATGGGGAATGAAGCTTGAACGACCGCTGGTGAGAATGCTCGGGCGGGATTAATTCCTGCCCCTGTCCAGAAGATACCAACAAGATGGCCAATGAAGAGTGAGATTCCAATACCGATGGGTGCGACAAAGGTAGATTTTGTTTTTTCGGCCACGAGCATGAGGATTGTGAACACGAGCATGAAGGTCAAAAGGAGTTCGATGAATAGGCCTTGGACTTTGGACCAAATATGTTAGCTGAGACCTCTTTCCCCAGTGGTTGGTTGATGCTTACCATCTGTAACACCTGGTCCGAGTGATACTGCGAAGAGTATATCATCGCCCGGTATAATAGCTTTGACTACCAGAGCAGCTAAAATTCCGCCCACAAGCTGAGTCGGCACAAGTAGTAATGCTTTCATTGGAGATACTGCTCTAATAAGCACGAGTGCGAGGGTCACAGCCGGATTAAACTGCCCACCACTAACACGAAAGAAGATCCAAACATTTGCTGCAAGACTGGCACCAAATGCAAGGGCAATGTATAGAAGCTTCGATGTGTCGGTTGCATTGGGTGTAAGAGGTGTGGTTCCGTTGGGTTGGTTTGCTGTTTGTGCGGCAGCAAATGCAAAGAACAGGAACAGAAATGTCCCAACAAGCTCACCAATCACAGAAACTAAGTAGTCTCTGACTGGAGCTCTCAGTGCCATGACTTTTGATGAGGTGGTATCACCTAAATGGGTATGACTGAACTATAAAATGAAGAAGAGTATTAGAATCAGATGGTGTCACGCCAATCAAGTCCACCTACCTGTCACAGAGGGAAGAAGTAAAAAACTATAGAACAAGCAGATATCAAACAATTACAATGAAGAAGTTGAGACAGCGGGGAAGGGGGGTATAACAGCAAAGGTCTCATGCAGAGTAGTAAACGAAACCGGTTCCCCTTCTCATTCTTACACTAGGAATACAAAAAGATATTCCGATGCCTTGGAATTTTGTGCTATGAATGAACATTGAGTGATATAAGGATCAATGAGTATCTCAAGTCTGTGGCTCGATGCATTACGTGAAGATCAGATAATGGAGGATGCTATAAGATCAGAGAACAGGTTAATTTTGATGCAATGTGGAGTCATTGTTATACTGCAGAACAGTGAAAACATGCAGAGGTGCTACCCCTCGAGTGTGCAGATAACCTATCAAGTCTGTGGCTCGATGCATTACATGAAGGTCGGATGATAAAGGATGCTGTAAAACCAAAGAGCAGGTTAATTTTGATGCAATGTGGAGTCACTGCTATACTGCAGAACAATGAAAACATGCAGAGGTGCTACCCCTCGAGTGTGCAGATAACCTATCAAGTCTGTGGCTCGATGCATTACATGAAGGTCGGATGATAAAGGATGCTGTAAAACCAAAGAGCAGGTTAATTTTGATGCAATGCAGAGTCACTGCTATACTGCAGAACAGTGAAAACATGCAGAGGCGTTATTTCTCGAGTGTGTAAATAACCTCACACCCAGTTTAATAACGTGTGTTCAAGAAAAACATCACTATTTTAACTTCTCATGACTTTTCACCTTTCAAAATCAAATCTTTCGAATTTCAATTCACAATTTCTTCTTCAAAATAGCTTCAAAATAGAAAAACTCTTCAATATAATTGAATTGTTGATTATTAGAATTGTTTTAATCATTTTTGAATACTGAAATAGCTTATTTAATGAAAAATTTATTTTGAGATTAAAATGAAAAACCATCAGAGGTCAAAATCACGACTTTTTTTGGGACACACGTTATTAAACTGGATGTATCTATTTGCTTATTATCGGATCCGGTTTAGTGTCCCATCTGTTTGTGGCATAAACCTTTTAACTTGGTCCTACTTCTAACTTGGTCCTATGAAAAGTCGAACGTCAGACTACAAGCAAGTCATACGTATCATTCTTGCATAAGGGAACTTCCGAGTTATTGACAGCTTTTACAAGCAAGTACGATGTTTTCCCATATTGAAAACATCAAGATAGATCAAACATAGGCGAGGTAGGAAATTAGCCAAGGGAATGCCGCAAATATGAATCGCTCAAGCCTCGTGATATCCAACGCGGTGAATTAGCTAGTTTCAACGGCGAAAGGTACTACCCAGTCGAGTCGTCAAATGTAGAAACGGATGACGGATCCATGTGTTTGCAAACTCTAGCGCGGGTGCACGCTGCGGTTGGGGTAGGTTATTTGATTTGTGGCGGAATCTTGATGAATTTGATCTTTAACGTCCGTCGCTAGTTGACAAGAGTACGGAATGTAAAGGGGGGGTCCCATCTGTGCGCAATGGTTGATGGATCCTGGTTAGATAGAGAGATATATCTGATTTTCGTGCAAAAATGGCAATGTGGTTGTATAAAGTTCCGTCTTTGGTAATTGATGACATCCGTTGGATCTTTGGGACGTATTGTTGGTTAATGATTAGAAACTATCAAATTATTGATGTCTACATATCGACCGCCTGGTACCACGAGGTCTTTTTCTCTAGCCCTTATTATGAGAACTCTCAAAATATGAAGATGATATGCCAAAATGCTGTGGGTGAATATATTTTCCGGGTTGATGGGGGTATAAACCATTTCAAAGTGAAGCCAGGCATGCTGAATCGACCCACGTAGCATCTGCACGTTGTGAAGTGTGTATCTTCTTAATCAGTGGTCACTTGAACCTTGTAGAGTTGCGTGGGGTGTGGCATAATGTGACAGAATAGTTTCTACAGATATTTGGTAACATCGACGACGACCCCTCATACCAGACCATTTCCTTGCTACTACAATATAAGTTGAAGACTGCCTTGCGTCTGTCAATCATCCTGGTATGTCAGGGAAAACTGTGTGCTGTATTTTGAAAATAAAAAATAACAGCGAAAATGATGAAAACACAAAAAGATTCCTTTCCAAGGATCGAGAGAAACTTCTCCCTGGACTTCCATCACAGGACTTATCTCTGGACTTTGCCCATTCCAGCCGTTGGTCTTGCGCTTTGTCGTAATTCAGACGTTGGCGTGAACCTCTATTTTCAATCACTCATTACTTGATCTTGTACTGGATATTTTCACTTGTAAAATGTTTGAGCGTATTTAGTCGCTCTATCTCCTATTGAATATTCGGATGAGTATGATGATTCTTTGTTTTGTTATCGTGAGCTTTGAGCATTATGCGAAGTTACATTTCTCAACGTTCCTGTAATCTGCAGTGGCATGTCGTTTTCCTATGAGCTTCAACCACGAACATCAATATTGACGCAAGTCAACGGGGGATCTCCCAAGTATGACAGCGCTTGGTGACGATGGTAATGCGTGATACCTACGGCTACGACGGCAAGATCGTCAATTCGGGGGATCTTGCGCCAATGAGATTCTTCGATAAATTTACACGGCTCTGTGTTCTATCCCAGACATCGTACAAACAATGGCAGTAGCCTAGCGTAGCCATATAAACTTTCCTACTGTGTTCATGCCAGAATGTAATAAATACATGCAGACACAGATTATTGGCGCGCTCATAAGTTGCTACTATTCGCGATGAAAAGAAATTGCATTTTGAAGAGTGCTACTATTCGCCCTGACCATGAGATGATATCATCAGTAAAACAAAGGAAATGGATGGTATCTCGGGCGATGAATATTTGATCATTGAGGTGAAAGAAGAGGTCAGGCTTCTCCAAGAATGTATGGTTCAGCTACCTAGGTAGTGCTTCGAGTTTATAGAGATCAGCTTAAACCGTTGTCGGCTCCACTAAGAGATCACAAAAGTAGGTGAGAACAATCGAGTGTTCTTGAGAATCAGCAGTGCTATGAACAAGATCCGAGTTTATATCGTGGATTTCGCACGCTGGGCATGCTGTGAGCGGTAAGATTATTCGACAAAGATGTGTCGCTCGAAGGACAAGTCTGGGTGCCATTGTATCCAAATTCTGCCGGGCGGTGTAACCATAAGAAGGTCAGTTTTAAAGCACCTTTTCGATCTCACCCTGGGTTTTAAATGGCAAGCAATAGCTTAGTTTGATTCTAACATTTGTTGTTACAAATAATGATCGTTTGAGAAGGATGAAGCTCTAGCATTCAATGGCAGATCTGCCACTAGGTTTTGAAAGGCACCTAACTTCATGTAGACGCCGCCCAAGGTGAAGGGTCCGATTGTACGTTAGAAAGTCCGCTTTCATTCTGGCAGGACATATCGAGATGAATCTTCTCATGACTCGGAGGTTCTTGTTCGAACATAGTAATACAACATGTGTGGAGGTGTGGAGTGGACCAATTGGACTTCCAAAAATCTGGCATTCGCAATCAATCCCAATGGCTGCGAAGCACACGAGAGAATTGCCAACCCATTACGTCTATGTTCTTTGGGTGCACCGTCTGCAGGGCAGCTAAAGAATATACAATGCAGGAGCTGTCGATGTTGCATAACGTCCTTGGTTGAGATGGACACTAATGGATCGAAACCAGGGGACGAACGGTAGGAAGACCTTTGCAAGATCTGCTTTCCAGTCATCTCTGGTTTCTGGTTCAACGATCCAATATACGTGTTTATGGACAATAGCAGGAAAACTTCTCGATTTTTTCAATGCTTTCCATCCTTTTGGCTTCAATTCGTTGGGTCTGTTGTTCTCTATTCGAAGTCTTTCAGTCAATCTGCTGCATAGTGTGCTTAGGATTGAGTCTCAGTTAAAGGAACACCCTGCAAATCCACGGCTGTTGTTTCATTTCGATCCCGTCCATCCTTGAAAGAACGGAACCTATCGTGCCAGTGTTCATCTTCAATGGCTTCCGCACAGTCACAGACTCCGGCAATGAATTCTTGCTCCATACTAAACTCTCCACCCACCACTAATACCGAAATAGTGACTCATCCGATGCGGAACCGAGCGAAACTACTGCCAATTCGAACAGTCTGTTCGAGTTTAACAATATGAACTTCACGGGTAACATTGGAGCTTTTTGTTATATACTTTCTCGAACTCCTTAAGTGTCTTCTTCTTGGCAAAGGAGTGTGGTGGGCAAGGCTGCGGTATCTTCTTGCCATTCTTGTATAGCGGAGATCATAGATAGTCCAGCCTGTTGAGGTGAGGGGAAGCGATTGAATTGGCCCGGGAGATATGTAAATATTTTGTAATATATCGGCGTGAACCGCTGGTATATGATTCATTGGCTCTTAATATTATACTATATCGAACAAATTAATACGTGTTTACAGACTGAGTAAAGTCTCTACCAAATTTCCAGGCGTCTCAAAGAAATCGAACATTACAATCCCCACCCTTTTTCCCTCCATCCCTTTCAAGAACGTCACCAACTTTTGATTGATGCCCCCTGTTGGCGTATAAGCGGTTCCGTTTCCAACCGCCATTATTTCAGGAGACACGCCATCCGAAATTTGACCTCCGCTTGCCCACGTCCACCATAAACTATCGGGTGCCAGAGATTTATCTGCCGCTTTCAGGAGATGCGTCGTCGTGGCGTTATACTTCCATTGAATATTGAGCGTCGCATTGGACTGAGATGGGGTCTCAGGCTCATAGTAATCCTCTATATAAGCTGTGATATGGGCCGCTGCATTATAGATGATTCTGATGTCCGGAGAATTATCCGTCCAAAGAGCAGGGGATAAATGAAGACCCGGCAAAGTATTCTCGTAGGTGTTTGGTAAATGATCCAAATCGAAGCGGCGGAGAAGGATAATTTTGCCTCGTGCTTCACCAACGGTCCCCAAATCATCTTTCCTTTGAACCAAATACTGTGTCGCTGCTGGAGATGTGAGAATATTGAATAACTTCAGTTGTGCTTCCGCATCATTCGATCCATATTCCGTCGTACTACCCTCATATTGAAGACTCAACAAGACCACTTCCGAAGGATGGTTATCAAGCCAGTGATAATAACCGAAGAGGACGTCATCCAAGGTAGCAGTTTGCGATAGAAGAGCTTGGCTATGCCAGAACACAATCGAGGTATTGGTAACGTCCAACGCAAATCTCAAGTCAAAGGCTCGGATCCCCGCATCAAGCATATCGATTATAGATTTACTCTGACAACGATAAGTTTCCGGTGAACTAGGAGCCGCATTACCAAAGGATGTGATCCCAGACAGTGAGGACTGTGTGGCAAGTGAATAGTTCCACGTTGCGGTGTCGTGAGTTCCGGGAATATTCATATGTACGAGCTTTGTGGAATCGAGGTACTTGCTCATCCACGTCGAGGTATTCAATTGATTGTTCGCATAGTTACCAAATATTGGAGATGCACTTTTCAGGAGTTTCTGAAGGGCAAATTCCTGAATTGAAACATCCGAGGAGTTGACATGGCGATATTCCGATATTGGGGAAGCATGAACTCGAATTAATGCTCCAAATACGATCAGAATGCTGACGATCGAAACGAACATAGCGATTGGGGCTATAGACTTCGCGATGCTGGGACTCGTTGTGGGTAAGGTTGAAAAGGTTGATGTTTGATCTGATGTTTGATCTAGAAACGGCTGGAATTGTGCTGTATCACGAAATTTTATCGTTGTAAGTTAAGGAAAGTCGTTCGATATGTATTCCGTGATGCAGACATTCAATATATGGAGCTATTGGTGATTTTCTAATGCAGTTGAGTAAAGCCCTCGAAGGTAACATTTACGAAGTGCAATAAGAAGTCTCTCCTATTTACGTGAATTGAGGCCCACATGGGATTTAGCCCAGTGATCGTCGTCTCGTCACGTGACTCCAGCTCGATTTGTTGACACTTGTTGACTTTCGTCGTCCCATTCCACCAAGAACGAGACATTTTCCTTGAGGTCCTTTGGTTGTCCTATTACCCTGAGAGCATAGATTTTGCAAACTTGTGCCTACAAATATCACAAGAATGATGCAGAGATCAGGATATCGTTTCTTTTCTGAAGATGCATTGCCAGTGCCTCGAAATTTCGATACTGTTGATATATCAATGAGTGATCGCCTGATCGCTAGATACAAACCCAATTCAAAGGACAGCAAAGGGTTGTTACCTCGTTATGGATCATTGATACATCTCGAATACTCCCGTCTAACCCGAATCAGAGACCCCACTAGTCAGTCTTCGGCAGTCCTTGTCTTCTGTTATAGGATTGTGCGATGGAGGTCTCTTTGTGAGGAGATTGGCAGACACCTTTCTACGGGGTTGGTGAGATTGCATGTGGCGCTGGATCTCTTCCGTGGAAGAGGCATCAAGGGAAGATGATGCTGTAGATAGCTGGGAAGGAGGTAAAAGGGATGAAGACACCAGCATATCACCTACTTGGTAATATAACCAGCTTAAATGTTTCGGGCACTTACCCGCACCGGTATTCAGATATTTCATGCTGACTTGGTAGCCTAGCGTTTCAAAACTCCCTTCCTAATTCTCTCCCATCCTCATCCTATTCCAATTCTATCCTATCATATCCTTCAAATATGTAGCATTTATCCTCATCTTTAAATAGGCTAAGGATAGCATGAGGACAAAGATGAGTATAAGAATCAAGATGAGAATAAAGATAAATAAAATAAAAGTTTATAATGACTTTGATTAAGGGGGTAAACAGTAAGGTTGAATCTGTAATGGGAATAGTTTTAAAAATTGTAGTATGAATAGTAATAATTCTAAAACTCTAACAAAAATTATACAGTAGTTCTAATTTATCCACCTTTTTCTCCCCAACTCATTCTATTACTTTATCCTATTTTTCAAATTAAAGAAAAGAAACTCATTCTATTCTCAAATCGAAATAAGGATAGAATGGGAGTTTTGAAATGCTAAACCTTAGTGATTAGCGCCGGAAGTTCTTGACAAAAACCCATATACCTCATTCCATAAAACAATATAAGTCTTAACAAACATTCAGAACTATTAAGAATTAGTAAATCAATACCCCATACCTGTTTACCAAAACTTACCAACTTCAAAGGAGTCCTATTCAGCCCCCGGTTGAAATTACACATTGCTCTCTGCTTGATCGGTCTCTGTTGCAATCTCCTAAACGCCTCTTGAACATGTCTTGTTTCAACTGGAGTTCTGCCCTCACTTGGTGGATCAAACAATCCCTGTACTTTTCTCTTTTTCCCTCTTTGTTCACCACCACTTTTCTCCTTGCCCAGATCCTCGTGTTCCTTGATCTTCAATGCTTCTTCGGTCAATGTTTGTACGATTTCGAAGGTAAGGAAACCAAGGATATCTACAATATCATCGTTGGGTTTAGAATCTGTGACAACACCAAAGCCAGCCCATTCCTTGAACCGCTTTCCTTTGCGAAATGTGAATGAGGCTTGACGATATTCGGACCATGTGACATATTCTTCTTTGGTCATAGCTTTGGTTCGCTCGTCGGCTTTCTTCAGGCGTTGTAAGGTCGCATAATTCATTTCTTCCTCATCTTCATCTTCTTCGTCTTCGCGTTCTGGGACTTCTTGGCTGTATAGTGAGGGGACTTCCCACGGGAGACCTACTTTGGCTTTTTTGTTCTTCTTCGTGGTATCCGGGATGGGTGCATTTGCTCCTACTGGTTCATCACCAGCTCCAATATCTGCATCGCCACCTTTTTCGTCAGAATCTTTGACGTTCTTGCGGACATCTTTCCAGGAAAGAAAGGTTCGAAGACGAGAAACCTTAGCTTGGTCGTGTCGGATGAGGAAGATCAGGTCATCGGTTGATATTGAACGACTGCCTCGACGTGTTGCCTGATCAGTACATTGACGAAGCTAAAACAATTAGGATCACGTCTCTGAAAAGAGTGCAAGTGGTCATGTTGTACTAACCATTTCAATAACTTGTTGCCGTACTATCTCTTCGATCATACCAGTGGTTTCTGATGATGCTTCTGCTGTCTCACCAGAGACATACATCATCTGTACAAACCAACGAAAAACCTTCATGTTAGTCATATTCGGTATTGTTTTCAAAGTGCTATGCTTTCGTTGAGATATGGATATGGATATGGGAATGGAAATGGAATAATTCAAGCATATTCACTACAACTAGCGATAGCCTCATTCTATTCATAAGATATACCGATAGCTAATAAAGGAATCAAATTCAATTGTTCTAACAAAGAATAAACTAACCTGTTGGATCTCCGTCTTATATTTTGCTATTTTGTCCGTCATTTTAGCAAAATCTTAATCCTTATCTATTATAATTCCAGAGGAGTTTGAGAGGTATATTAAAGGTTGGAAAGAAAGTTGGAGTCATTGGTGTCATTGGTTATGACCTAGGAAGTCTGAGGCGGTCAAATCCGCTTTACTCTTTTAAGCAGGCAGAAAAGATAGGCTTAATATAACCTCGATAGTCTACGAGTATATTTTGGTGCCATTCCGATATCCTAATATACATCGATATCACCGTCGCATATACCACTTGATATATGTTGCAAGTACTCAAAGAATTGATTAAAAGACTTGAGCAAACATATATATACCGTCGTAATTTCCTTTACTCATTTGTCCTACCCTACCTGCTGCGTGTGTTTTGCAGGTTGAGATGCAAGAATATGAGTAGAATAGGTAGGGTACCCGTTGGTACTCAATGAAGGGGTCGCTACCAATTCCGTGTCGATTTCATTGGTATTCCTGAATCCTGTGAAAAGGAAAGAACTACCTACCCCTCACATATCTGCAATGCACCTTAACGGTTCGTGTTCGTCCTACCGTATCTTTTCTTTCAACGTCACCGCATACACAATCAAATGGAGAGTCCATACCAAAAGCTTGAAGCTTCGTGGCAGTGGAAGCTTTGTACTTCTGCAAGTATATTCGCCTGGTTTTTCTGTATATTAGCGGCCAGATTTCACAAAATGTTTTTCATCGGTGATTACGCTCTCTTTACATTCCTAGCAGGATCACAAAGAACATTTGCCCTGTCTCCTCTCGAAAGTTTCTACCCAATCGGTCTCAATGATACTTTATACATCAGCAATACTTCCCTTGGATCGTATGGTGGAATTTATTATGCTCCCGGAAAGACTATAAGTTTGAATGTAAGATACGGCGCATATGACTACTGCTCTATGCCCCATCCAAGAATACCTGAATATCAACTTCCCGCACCTATAGCAAACGGTAGTGTGAAGGCGGAGATTGTTTATTTAGAGTATTTACAAAGACATCAAAGGAGGACCATGTATAATGTTCTTCCTAGTGGAGAGGTGTTTCTCTCCCGAGTCAGAAAACCTTACAAACTTACTGACTTTATCCCAGATCGTACCATTCAATTGCTCAGATGTTCTCCCATATCTTTATGCTGGACCTCACGACCCTTCCTCTCAGCAGCCGATTAAAGTATATGCCCAAACGTATACCGATCCAAGCAATCCGTTCCTCGGCACATATGTTCCTGGCACTTGTCAGTACCCACAGCTTACAATCGGCGGTCTATTAGACGGCTACCGGCATGGTCAAGACCTTGCAAGGGTGTACGGAGCGACTGGCAAACTGAGTCTTTTTCCCACAACTCCGTCACCAGAAACTGCCTACTTTCGCTCGTCAGAATCGCCTTTGACGCAACAAAGCGCTGGGGGTGTTTTGCGTGGAATTTGGTCTAGTTTTAAAGGATCGATACCTCTTCACCAACAAGCCACCTCTCTCGACACAGTCAATGCGGGGTATTCTTGTCCTGCCATTTCTTCCACGTTGGCAGAAATCAAATCCACAACTGAATGGCAAGCTCACCTTACCGCCACATCGACTCTCCGCACCACTCTTGGAAGTGTTTTTGACGCAGATTCGAGTGCATGGCAAGGCACGATGGATCATTTCGCGGATAACTTCCAAGCTCGGCTCTGTAATGGCTACTCGCTCCCCTGCTCTCCAACCAATGCCTCGAACTGCGTAACTCGAGAAATGGCCGACGAGGTTTTTAGAGCTGGGGACTGGGAGTGGAACTACTACTGGAGAGCCAATCCATATGTTCAAAAATACATTCAAGTCGTGGAGGGGCCATTTATTGGGGAAATCGTATCCCGGTTAGAACGTGTGTCGAACGGCGCGATCCAAGAGGGAAAGTACAGTCATATATTTGTACATGATGGTGATATTGGTCCAGTGGCAGGTGCTCTTGGAATCAATGCTTTGAGGTGGCCTGGAATGGGGAGTAATATTGCTTTCGAGGTTTGGAAGGTTGAGGATTATACAAAAGCGTATTGTGATACTTACTTTGTACGAGTCCTGTATAGTGGGAAACCCATGGAGTCAATCCATGGAGACATGGACTGGATGCCATTGGAGTCTCTATTGGAAATTCTCAGGCAATTTGTGCCGAAGGATATCGTGGCACTATGTAATAGTTAGGAGGGTGGAATCGGTCATGGAGTTTCCAGTAGTATTCCTGGACAAGCATTTCATGTTTTAATGTTCGAAAAGCTATAATTCCTTGAAGATAGTTTGGTCATTTCAGTGGATACGATTTTCCAATTTCTCAATCCGATTGGTTTCAAACTTCCCGACGAATTCACAAGTCCAAAGGAGCTTTTCAAAATAAGACTGCAGTCCTGACTCTTTTACCCCCCTCACTAATCAAACCCAATGTCTGCGGATGGATAGGCTTTTTTGTGAGACTACTACGAGTATAAGTAGCCACTCTTACTCGAGCATGTATTTTTCAATGCCATTCAGAAGTTCGATTCCATCATTTATGTACCCATAGCATAACCGATTTCCAGTTGGAAGGAAGCCTTCGAGAGTACTGCATAATCGGCTCAGCTAAAGTCATACTTTGGATTTGTTGATATTGAATAGACTGTAATCAGAAGATGGGATGGAGATGGATTGGAGGGTATTCTAGGTCGTAGGGAGGAATAACATCCGAGTCAAATTGCTGCTTGAATTTTCTGATATCTTGTATCAAGCGAGATTAAGAGCAAGAGCAAGAGAAATCAATCTTCCAAGTACGTAAGTAACTTACAAGTTACCACTGTATTATCTGCCACTATCACTTACTCCCATCAATCCAATCCCAATCCCCCTACTCACCCCCCCACCCTTTATTCTTCAACCAAGACTCCCAGTATCTAATGCCCACCCAAAACGCTAGTAATCTCTCAACATCATAATCATACAGTAGATGCAAGAAAAATTATCGTCTCCAAGAAACCCCGAAGTATTAGTAATATTACATACCATGGGCGTTGTGCTGGTGTTTAAAAAGTTCAATGGCGGATTGGAGATGTGGAGGAAAGAGCTTTATAATTATGTTATATCATATCATATTGAATCATGTACACGAGTATACGTAGACTTGGAATACATTCTCTATTCTCTCCCCTCTCTGACCTCCATTCTCATGCCATCTGCCATCTGCCATCACTGGGACACCCCATCTTTGCATTTCTATCCACCCTATTTCATCCCGTCGCATCCCATCTATCCCTAGGTACCGGTGTGATCTCAGAAATCTCTTGGACGACATAAGACAACACGCAGTATCGTATGTATGTATCAAGGGGAAATATCTATTCTGCATCCAACATACTCCAAGCTTGAAAGAGGAACGACGATATACATACATACGATCATACGTCTATTCGTATCTTGAGATGGTAGTGAACAAAAGGTAAGATTGCATACATACAGCTGGCGAGCTCATACTATTTATGACATGGCACCCTACTACCGCGAATATAGTACATTATAATTTATAATACCAATAAAAGGAACGAACAACCCAAGAAAAACAGATAAAGGGAATCGAGAAAACCAGACACAAAGGGCTTAGAATGGATATTCGAAACTCTGTAGTTAGTATGAAGATCTCATGGTCAAGGAACGAGAAATACATGGCTCCACCACTAGCAAATTAAGGATGTAGTAATGATTTGTAATACACAATGTTGCTTTCACTACCGAGAGGAACCGAGGAAGCTAATCGGCGGTGAGAATTGGAAAACGATTTTGTACAATATTAATATCCAATCCAAGCAGTTCCCCGAGGGCTTTTTCAAGCTATATATGGTTTGAAATAGACCTACCTGATACTTTCACATATCTTACATCAACAAGGAGTAGAATTAATGCCTTTAAAAGCCATATTTATGGAGTTGTGGAGCATTTACCCACATCTTTCAAAAGAAGACTTTGGGTTGTGAATGTAGAGTGATGAAGATGGCCATGCAAAGAACAGAAGAACGAACGAAGTTTGGGTTGCCTTGCCATGAAAGGTTCACTATTGCCTGTGATAATTCCAAGGAATTATCATCATTCACATGTTCCCCAACCTTCAATCCGCCTTGCCGTGGTCTTCAGCATGCATCGGAGATGGGCTTCCACAGTCAGGGATTTGAGAAATTGCATGTCAACTCACCAATCACCTCTTGGATTATGTTTCATCGCAAAATTTCCTTACATCTCATGATATTACAACAGAGACAAAAGCCCGTAGCTAACAAATCTCAATAGAGCTCACAAGAAGCCCCTAATTTCTCACCCGTACCCTACAGCTCATCACGGTCGATGAACGGAACGAGCATGATATCCCGAAACGCGGATACTACCGCATCGGTCCATCAAAGTCCAAGTATGAACTAACCACACTAAAGACTTCCGCAGTGGCGCCATCTCAAAGTTCAACTCAGGTTTATTCCAGAAACCTAACCCAAATCGAAAGAAATGACTGACGATCAGATCTAAGCAACTTCCAACCCAGAAACTATCCTATTGATCGGCCCTTTTCGATTATCCAGATCCGGGGTACATAACCCTATGTGGAGTAAATCTGGGGACCCCAAGCAAGCAGCGTAAGCACCAACAAGTTTGAAGACCGCCGAATCAGATTCATGATCACTAGAGTTACAGAACAAGGTTCGGAACAGTACCGAGGAGGTTATTGAGTGCCGAATCTTGTACTGATGTAGATCTAAGGAATAAAAACACGGAGCTATGTCTTGTGTGGTACAAGTGAACAAGTTTGCGGGGTAAATGTATGTATTATTGCACCAGTATTGTTGCTAATAATGGTCTAAAACTTCCTAAAACCTGGAATTATGCGGAGAGGAGGCGCGATTTGGAGAGTATTGTGGTTGTTGGTTTTTTTTTGAAAAGTTTATTATGGTCTCCTGATAAACTGCCAGGAGAATTAGATGGAATGATTAATCATTTACTCGAGTAGATGATCCTGTGTTGGTTTTGGTCTGGAGAACAAAACTGTTTGTTGGCAGATTCAAGGAACGGCGCGCATGATATTGATTTGAGGAACGAAGTAAACGAATGAAAGGGTAGGGAAGAAGTTATTCCGTCCGTCTTGTCAGCTTTCTATCACATGTACTAATATGAGGATATACACGTGAGACGAGGAACACTTTATCCATATTTTGTCAAAGATTGGAGACGGATTGAAGTCTCCCCAGAAAACCCAGCAAAACTAATAAGCTAATGATGTTAAGATCAAGATCATGAGGCTCGTAAATTTTGTGCTCTGGAAGGTTGATTGTAAGTTCTTCTCCGCATAATGGAAGGTTCTTCGCATTCTTCTTTTTTCTAAAAAGCATGAGTTTCGGTCCTTCTGTTCCATCTGTTCGGGTTGTGATATCCAAGTCGTGGTTGTACCGATATATGTGTAGTATTCCATGAATTGGATATTCGGATAATCATGTGATAGATACCAATACAAGTTCCCATACAGCACAACAAGAAAACCTTTGAACTTATTCTTTTTCAAATGTTTTTTTTTTTTTTTGTTTAAAATTCTCGAGAACCACTGCCACAAGAGCTCGGATCGTTACCGTAAGTACGAGTGGAAGTGATCATTGATGGTGATACAAAAAGACCAGACCAGACCAGACCAGACAGAAAGATTTTCATTCTCGCATTGATCGCCATCAAAGTTTTTGCGCGTTCTCCAGTTTTCATGTCCAACTCCAAAATTCTAGAGAAATAGATGGTTTTTGTGTCACTCGTGTGAGTCGTGTCATTTGTCGCTGAAATGTTCATAATGGGGATTTAGTGAAATGGCATGGATACTATGAATCTATGATAGGCAGTTTTAGTAATTTGATATGTCCCGGTGAGGAAGAAAGAGGGATGTCGAGCGATGATCTTTGGAAAGGCGGTGCCTGATTCGTGTGATATTCTGATGCATATCAGATGGATCAGTGTATTGGATAAATGATATTCTTGTGAGAAATGCTTGAATGGGTTACTTGGCCACGGTCAGCACCTGTATATGTCGTACATGATTCCCCGGTACAGACAATAGATTGAGGGCATTGTGCCATTGATAGATTGAGGGATCCTTTGAACCTCGTTCTCATTGCTTCACCCCCAAACCACAACAATGTGACAGTGCAGTGCAGGGCAGACAGATCAGCGGCCCTCATGAATAAAATAGAATAGAAGACGCGAAGAATTCTTGGCACAATATCACGCATTGGCTGAATGAACGGAGAAAAATCAGTCAGATCGGTTATATCGCCTGGACTGGCCATAAGAGGTAATAAATATATCAACAAGGATTTAACCATGCGTTTTATAGTCTGTATGTCCTGATTAGTATTCATCTCCGTGCGAGTTGACGATTGGTTTGACAACTTAAATATTCTACGGAGGAATATCCAGATGAGGAGATAGTAAGTTCTCGGGTTAGACGAAAGGGAACGAGGGTCGTGGGATGAGGGAGGGAGGACAAGATGAATCTTCTTGAAAAAGGAATAGGGAAAAGGCATGGTAAAAGTAAGAATAATTGAATACTACCAGGGAGAAAGAAATAACGGAGCTGGAACGGAAATTTCCCTAATATTATGCTGTAAGACTTGCCAGCTTTCTCCTCTTTCTCTTTACTAAGACCCCTTTGCCCTTTTGTTGGAAGAACTGGTTGGACAAATCAATCTTGTGGCGTCGATACTTCGTAAAGATGACTTTACTGGATGAGGTTTGATGGGTTTTGATGTAAATTCTTGATTTCTAGGTACAGGTGTAAAAGATTGATTTGAGGGCTCAGGGTGGATTAAGATATCATACTTATATCTATATTTTAACCTTGACCCAGTTCAAATCTCCCTTCTGCTCTTGCTCGTGCTCGTACTCTTGGCTTTCCACTCATCTCTCTTCTCTAAAACTCCTTGCTATCAGCGTCCACAATTGCACAATTACTATTCATTAGAATGATATATCCATCTATCGATACCTCTTAACAATAGTCATGTGTGTTAGTAGAACATAGTACTCGAGTAGTTAGTTGTCTTTGAGCTGACACAGCCCATTTGTTACGTTACTTGCGGAAGAGGAGTTACTTACTACGATAATGAAGTTACTCGAGTAGATAAATCGTGAACTATAATCAATCCTGTTGGTTCCTGGTTGAAGAGGGAGAAGAAAAAGGTGAAGGTTTTAAAGTTTATACTGTATCACAAAGAAGTTAAGGAAGGTAAAGTCCAGACAGAGAAGGGAATACCGGTGTTAGGGAAACTCCTGAACCAAATCAATGGGATATTAGCCTTTGACTGATCTACTACTCGAGTACTGTCATACTTCTTTTCTCGATAGATATATATATATCCTCTTATTTCAAGAATTCTGACATCTCACAAACTGAAAATACTCACCACTCACCATTCACCACTTCACCCACCACCACCCATAACTATATCTCACCACCTCACCACTTCAGCACTTCACCACCCACCACCCATTTCATATCTTCACCACTCACCACTCATCACTCTCACTACACTCACTATTCACCATCCACCATTCACCACTCACTACACTCACCACTCACTCATCCATCCACATCTTACACCTCTCTTATTCAAATTTCCCCACTTCAACCCTTCTCAAAATCTGAGGTTACAGTTAAAATACCCAGCTACCGACTTTTACGATTACCATATCTCACTTCTTTCCTTCTCCCTCTTTCATTCACACACATACACGCACACTTCTCTCTCTCTTACCCCCCTCTCTCCACTTCTCCACTTCCATCTCTTTCATCACAACCACTCTTCCCACTCTTCCACCCCCCCCTCTCTCCACCCTTTCCACCGCTTCCACTCATCCACATTTAACCTCCCATTTATTTTCCGAATCCACTTTAATATCAACAAACACGAACACGCCTAATACTCGTAGGTAAGACTTCACCCATTATTTTTCTTTCCTTTCATTCTCTCCAAACAATCTTCTTGTTATTAAAAAATCGGAAACTTCAAAACTTACCCTTTACCTCAAGATCTGAAGAGAGAGATAAAACACCCTTTTTTTTTTAACCAGAAGAAAAGGAAAAAGGAAGAATAAAGATATAATCATAATATATATTTTATCCAATTACTGTACACGACTTCACCATTCTTCAACCCCCCCCCGCATCTCCATGAAATGAGTTTCCCGTCTCCGCCATACAGGATTATACGGACCGAATAAACTACTCCAGTCTCCAGGAATTCAAGATTCGGTTTCTATCCTATCGTCTTTTGAACCAAACAGGACCGACACCAGAAATATACCTTCAATACAACTCCACATAACCACATAATCACATAACCACATAACTCCAGACCCGAACCCGACCAAAGTTATATTACTGGAACGACGTCGATATCATAATAATCATCTTCTTACAAGTAACCCGACTTATCGTTGCTTTGGTGTTCAATTCAATAAATTTGATCGTCAGTTTTTACAGCCTCATCTGTTTTCTCATTGCTCGACCAACGATACGATACGATACGATACGATAACTGGTACTCACTCGACTTATCAATTGAATTGATCAATTGATCGTCAACATCAGACCCCTAGAACAACAAAAATATAATCTGCCACCCTTTCTCCTCCACCGCCCCGCCATCGCCATCATGTCGTCGAACTCGGTGAAGAGAGCATGCGACGCATGTCATCGTCGAAAGGTGAAATGTGATGGTATTAATCCGTGTCGCAATTGTTTTTCAACACAATTATCTTGTACCTATCATGCTATACCACAGAAGAAAGGTCCGAAAGGTTCGAGAGCCAAAGTGATCAGCGAATTAAGAAACAATCAACAATCATCACTCTCATCCAAAACTGCGAATCGCATGAATGGTGTTCCTAGTCCACCATGTAGTCCTACACTCGCACCGACGCCAGGTCTTCTTACGACGGAGATGGTGAAAGAATGTACGGAATTCTTCTTTGCGAATATGTATCCGACGATGCCTATATTACACAGAGAGAGATTAGAACAACAAGCCATGTATGTGGATCAGAACGTCGATACATACTGTCTCTTGACATCGATGTGTGCCTTTATGATGATACAACCTGGAATGGGAATACCTGGTGATCCCCTTGGATTGGATAACCTACCTGGTGCGAATATTGTCTCGGGAACCTTGTTGATGGAAGAAACATTGAAGGTTAGGAAGAGTTACGATTATTGTGAATCTCCTACACACAACAGCTTAGTGACAAGCTTTTTCCTCTTCGCATGTTATTACGGATTGGATCTACATAATAAGGCCTGGTTCCATTTACGAGAAGCTACAACATTGGCGCACACCCTGGAGATGGTGAAAGAGGAGACATATCATCAATTCGACATTATTGAATCATCACGAAGGCGAAGATTATACTGGTTGCTATTCGTCACAGAAAGGTGAGATTTTCACCCCAAGGCAAATTATTGCCCAAGGCTAACAAAAAATAGATCATACGCACTCCAACGACATCGACCTCTATCTCTTCAAAGCACGATCAATCTCCCTTCGCAGAACGATGATCCCACTGATCCCCAAAATCACCACCTACACGGCTTCATCCATCTCGTAAATGTTTACCGCCCATTCGACGATCAATTCGTTGCACTCTGGAACAAAACTCGTACCGACTGTTCCCCAGCCTATCTCTCCTCTCTCCAAAAGCAACTTTCTGAAGCCCTCCCAATATATCTCAACAGCACAGAAAATCAAACAGCAGATCTTAGAACAAGTCAACAATGGCTAAGAACAATGGTTTGGCAACTAAGTATACAAAATGGATGTCTCAGTAGCAACTGTGATGATCCAAGTATGTCATTCCAATATCCGGTCGATATCGCCAGAGAATTGGCACAGATGACGAGTCAATTCAGTCATCAGAGTATGGAGGTTCATGGTGTTGGATTGGTGAGTATTCTTCCTTTTCCTACATCGCCCCAATTTGCTGATGACTGAATTTTGTAGATTGAAAAGTTATTCGACGTAGCATGTTCTTTGACCGATGTTCTCTCTCTCCTTCCCGCCAAGCCCGATCCCTTCGCGATGGGCCCCCGCGACTACCTCCATCAATTCATGACCATGCTCTCTATCCTTCGCAACGGCGATCACCGATTTCTTCCTCTGCTTCTCAACAAAGTCCATGATGTTCTTCCTGGTCTCACAAATCCTATGTTACAGAATGTTCCCGAAAATACTCAAATGTGCGCGGATGTCGACCTGTTTGACGGGTTTGGAAACACTGGCATCAGCATCCCTCCTCAAAACTATAACTCTATGGCTACCAGTGGCCCTGATGAGTACAAGATGGGACATACAAATGGAGGATTGGCATTCGACAAGAGAATTGAAGAGTTGAGTAGTCCAAGTGTGACGGGTAGTATGTCTGCCGAAACTACCCCATTCACATCACCGCCGATCATGAATCCTGGAATGGAATATCAAGCTTTGGACTATCCAGGATTTCATGATCTAACCGGTCATAATCACGGAATGGATTTCAAGAGAGAGTATAACGTCGAGAATAGAGAGAGTTCTTTTGGGGTTTCGAGTCCTGGTGGTATGAGCGAAATGAGTAATGGAGTTGTGAGTGTCAATGGAAACGGAAATGGAATTGGAATTGGTGGAAGACAACCCCCGATAAGGCAAGGAAGTGGTAGCAGTTATGGCATGCCACTTCCAAGGAGTATACCGGAATTCAACCATGGTCACTTCTCGAGATCTAGTACGGGTGGAGAGGATATGGGAGTAGGAGGAAACGGTGTTGATTTAGGTCATCATGGATATAGGTGATGAAAGAGTGGAGTGAAAGATTTGATTGAAATGTCATATTTTGGGTGTGGGATAGTAAAAACAGGACGAGGTACAGCCAATTTTTTGTTCGTCAAATCAAATTGCGATGTCGAGATCGATCTCACATTCGCTTCATCAAGCGCCTAAGTCTCAAACGAAACTCATGAGTTTATATATGTCATTTTGGCCGCAGAGATATTGTGCTGGGCAACAAGTCACAAGAGAATCAGGTTAACAACCGAATGAATGTATTTGGACTGGCTATTAAATATGGATATATCCACAAAAAGGGGATAAAGTCAATATAACGAGCCATAATTTCTCGATTACTTAGCTCGACTGGTAATCTAGGCACGGAAGAAAGGGAGTGGGAAGAAGGAAATTGGAACACATAACGTGTTATATGAAACGCTGAACTAGAAATATGGAAGTGGGTTTTATGAAATGGGAAATGGGATATCAAGGAGAAACGGAAGGAAAGGAACGGAACGGAAAATACTTTAAATGATTCATTGCAGGGTGTTTGGGAGATTTGGTGAATGATTTGGTGGATGGATGGATTGATGCTTGTTTTTTATGATATGAGTTGATGGAATTGAAATGGAGATGGAGATACGATTGTACATGCATTCTTTATGTATGGTATGGAGTTGTCTTATGATGATGTAGTATGGCGGTTAGGTTGTCTATCTAGATATGTGAAATGTGTTTTCATGGATCTGTTTGAGATGCTTGCTTGCTGTGAATGTTGAGGTTGTTGAGAGTGATGTTAATTTGAATGACTCGACCTACGAGATACTAAAGATGAAGTGTGGTAATTTAATCATTTTTCTTACTTCGTTGTAGTGTACTGATGAGATTTATGTAGTATTGTAGTAATGGGGTAATGCGGTGATGTCCTGGAGAGCTATCTGCTGTCTAGGGTAGGGGTTGAGGGGGTGGATGAGGGGCGGGAATATGTGAATATGGGAATGTGGAATTTAGGTTAAGATATTGAGAGAGGGCAAAGATAGAGAGAGAGAGAGATAGAGAGAGATATTCGTCAGCGTTGTCGGGGTCGATCTAATTCATATGGTTAACTGGGTCAATACTCGTAGATGAATAGAGAGATATAAGCCTGTATAAAAATATATACAAGATTCTCTATAGCGGTCTTGCGGCTGCTAATCCTATTACATTATATACAGTACGAGTGATCGCTTGGAATAGTTACTGCTTGCACTCGAGTTATCATATACTTGAGTATATAGCCAGTTCATTCGATAAACTCATTATATAGGTATGGCTTTAGATGCTGTTGCAAATGCAATCTACATGGTGACTTTGAGACTTGATCATTGTGATGTTGAATTCGGCTTTTTTACTGCAGAACGGCTTTGCAAAGCAGTTGTCTAAGAAACATTGTAGACATGGTGAGTAATTGGTAGGTACTGTATGTAGTATATAGATATCAGAGGGAGGGCTGAGGGGTTGGAATGAGTATGAGGACCTAGGGTATGGAGTCCAGCCCACATCACACTGCGATCTAGTCGTTTCATGAAGAAGTTCTTCACGTTCCCGGATACGACTGAACGAAGGACGCTGCAGAAGTGCTACTCCCGCTCGATGATATCAGGTCCCACGGGTAGATCCTCCCGAACATTGTTGAGTATCCCAGATGGAATATTTTCGCTGTAAATCTGACTGGTGGTGCCCTAAAAGTCATCTGTTGTACTCGTCTGCCTCTCCAATATATACCACGACACTAGATGCGATCACATATATTGAATCTATATTGTAGAGTTGAATGTAATCTTACGTTGGGTTTTCTTCTGGTTGATTTAGATGATATCGATCGATGTCCAAGGGACTCTCCTCTCGTCACGCCTGCTTCGTAGACGCCTTATTGTATCATATCATCACCATTGCAAGCGATTGAGATTTTGTAAGAGCCGTGGAGTGCGATGCTCTTCGGCTTGGATGCTTCGACCGGGTATATAGGAGATCTCCGTACGTAATTGACCCGAATCCTCAACGAGCCAGGCTCCTCGGATCGACTATCCTCATCTCATCTTCTCAGATCCGCAAGTCACCAGATTCCTCCAAATCATAAAGGAGAGTGAGTGAGTCTACGACGTGTACTCGAGTAAACCTTTGCAGTGTATAAACCAAACTAATTTTTCAGTTCGTAGAAACTGGGTTGGATTTTAATAACTTCAATAATTGATACGGTTCTGGCCATCATGCATTCGATTGGCGAGTGACATATGTACGGTATGTACAGTATATTGAGGGCCAGGTTGGTAAATATGGATGATATATCCTGGGTTGGAACTTGGAAGATGGTACTGATATTGCTAGAGAATTAGGAGAGAAAGAATGGAGCGGAAAGTAGAATTTAAGTAGGCCTAATATACATCAAAGACGTCCTGTTCTGATCGAATGATGTCAAAGGAATGGATGGGACTCACTCAAATGGGGGTGTTTAGACATCAGAATTATTAGTGCGAGGTATTATGTATGAGAAAATGCAGTATTGGGGGCTGGAATGTATGAGTAGTTGAGTAATGAATTGGGGAAAGAAAATAGTGGCGCATATCGTTGGAAACAGACCCCTCCAATTATAATATATAAATACCATTGTATCCTTGAGCCGAATGACATAATCGCCATAAGTTTCTCAATGACCAGAGAAGTTCGTTTGAATGCGACGACAGCTATAGGCATAACTAGCTTCCGCCCTTTACAGTCTCACAATACTGGCACGAACTGATCATAACCAATATTGCTTCCACTGGGCTATAACAGCTTATATCTAAGTACCGAATTGGTAAGTATGGTAGTTTGCCGAGACGGTATCCGTAAGGCAGTGCAAACCAGATAAAATCGGCGGTAGCTTTGCGAACTCGATTACGGTGTAGCGAATTGGCTGTGCATCGCTTCACTCTGTTTGAGGTGGTACAACCACTGGCATGAGGATCCCGCTAATGTGTGGTTGACAATAATATATAGATCGGGCCATCTTCTTACACCAAGCAGAACATCAATCGCACTTCTGTAGGTGACGGTAAGGGACTGTGTTTAGGTCTTCTTTGACATATGTAGGCCAATCCCAGGCACTACGAGGCTGCTACCGAGGTTTCAAGGGGTTGAAAAGCTTTCTAGTCAGAAATAAAATTGGCGAAAGCCATGTCAACAGCATGTTCTCCCACAACAGGCTGCAATCCATCCTTTAATGGTATAGAGCTATCAAAGAAATGTAAAGCAATTTTACCAGCGATGATAGCGTTACTTTGTGCCATATTTGACCTGGAGATCTCCGGGTCCTGCACGAAATGTTTGAGGATGGAATTGATGTTCATCTGGGTCTTCGTTATGGTCTCGGTAAATTGTAAAAATTGCTTCGAGCTTCTGGAAAGGCTGAGTCTTATCCGTACTTAACATCGGTGAGAAACATCGAGGAGAACTGGAGAACGCTTCATGAAGTCCACATGTTTTTAATATCTAGTTATCGTGATTATTGTACTAATATCTTTTGTTACTGGTGTGCAAGAGCAATAGAATAGATTTCGTCAGGAGGGTTTCGGTTGTGAATCAAACACTCATAAGCAGATCAAAGTATTCATAATCTCGTATCTGAACTCACTTGATTGTTTAAAACATAATTTGACAACTGTATCATTCTATATGCATTCACAAATAGTCAACAAGAGTTGAAAACCCTCCAGTCAGATAAGACCGAAAGACTACTTGGTACTGAAGAAAACTTATCTTCAAGGCAGCGAAACTCTTGAGTTGTGGAACTAGGAATTCCATTCCGCCTCGTTAGACAGTATCAGACAGGTAATGACAAGCGTTGCACTAAACAAAATCAGCCCTAAAATGTTTGTGGCACCTTGGGATGATGTAAAGCGGGGAAATAGACAAATCCGGGGTAAAGGATAAACCATAGGAACTTCTGGGTAAATGAGGGGGCAAGTTGAACAGATTCAAGTATTCGTATTTCCACAATTGTAAAACATGAAGTTCAACTTTCTCGAAGAGAACATCTCTCCTTGCCGTCTAAACTGCCATCCAGCCCACCATTTTCATTTGTCGCGGTAGTCACAGTATCTGCAGGTAGTGCTGAGTACCCAGACTCTGACTCCCAGAATCATTCAGATCGTACGAGTAAAATGAGAAAGATAATACTCAGATCAGGTGTCGGAGCAGGTGTTGGCAAAGGGTATTTGCAAAATCCGGACTCGATATCCGGATGAAAAACTTCTCATTGAAGTGTTGACCTCAATAACTTCATCTCCATCAATAATCAGGATTCACGCAGTAGTAAGCAACACCTCGTCACAGAAATTCCTTGATGGATTCGTAGAGGAAGTGGTGTATAATTGTGGCCACTTGGACTATTGTGCCACCTGTAATGGGATTGTAGAAATTGAGGAATCAACATCTGCTCCTTGAAATACAATCACTTGGTTGAAATCTACACCCAGAGCATATTTGGTAAGATCTATTAATGAATCAGGTCAACGTGATTGCTGGCAATTTACTCGAAAGGATATTCAAGCCATGTTGAACCAGTAACTATATCCCCCTTCCAGCCGTTAAGAAGGGCAAACAGGTGGAGATGGATCTGTACAGTGCATGTAAAGAAGTGGTTTTGGTATAATAGGTGCAGGTACCGGTGCTGGTGCGAGATTCAGTCTAAAGAAGGATGCAACGAAGGGCACATAATATCGTCGTCGTCGTCGCCGTCACCATATGATGGTTCGGTTTTGAGCGGAAATCGAGTAATTCCTTGCTTTGTTTTTGGTAAGACGAAAGAGAAAGCTTTGCCCTTATTCCATATAAAGACACATTTCTCGTACTATATTCAATAGAGCGAGTGATATTGTGAAGTCATACCAGTAGGTACTGCATTGGAAAAGATTTTTGATAGAACTATATATGAGTATTCCGTTGGGTATTCGTTGAGTATTCCATATGCATATGATTGATGTACGGAGTAGAGATGTGAGCCCGTCGGACTTCCACTTTAGGACTTCCGCTCTCGGGAAAAAAGTCTAGATCAACCCTTGTCCAGGTTCATACACTACTGCGGGAATGAACCATCGTGAGTTACCAAATAGAGAAGCAGCTTCGTATTACATACAGTACTGATAAAAACAAAACGTCCAGCCATTCATACAACAACATGAACATTTCTTACATACACATAATCGCACAATCTATACAACATCGCGGGTTGAAATAATGCTGTTTCCGCAGCAATGCGGTCTCGTACAGGATGGTAAATATATTCCATTACTTGGTATTGAATCACACAGTACAGTACAATCCAGCGGTCAATATAATATGCTAACTTTTTGGGGGTTATCAGTCAAACCTGCCGACAACGGAAGCTCAAATGTGACGAAATTAAGCCAGAATGTGGACAATGTCGCAAAGCCTCACGACAATGTGTACCTAGCGATGGAGTAGTATTCCGACATCAACAAAATGCTTCCATGAACGGCAGTGATGAAGTTATTCCTGGTGAAAGAAGCGGTCGATTGGGAGCATTCTACGCATATAGAAATACATTTGATGAGAATAGCGTTTGGATCGATGTGCCAAAGAAGAGTATGCCATAAAAGCTAGGTTTCATTGCGAGATGAAGCGAGCAGGACCTAACGAGGCATTTGACAGTAATTTTTGTTCATGTCACCGATCCATATAATATGGAAGTAACTCCTGAACCCGAACAGCTCACAGACTCTACTCTTCCCACCACGAGCACTATGGACGAGACCGGCGACGCCGCTTATAATCACCCTTCATTCGAGAAAGTTCCTGGGTTAGAGGCCCTTTCAACTGCTGCCACTACCAATATGGAATATTTGCGTCAGTTATCGGTGCCTGCACAATCACCAAGAGGCATTAACACTCCGCAGCACTCGGTCAACAATCTTGATTTCATACTGAACCCTACTGGACCAGAGGACCGTTTGAGTAAGAGAATGTTTCATTTCTATGTTCTTGGCTAACACTTCAATCATAGGTTCACCCCTAATCAACCCTTCATTGAGATCAATCTCCAGGACAAACACTCTCATCAGTGATGTTGATAGTGTAAGAGAGCATGAAGTTGCATTTCTATTAAGACACTTTGGGGAGACCACTGGACAATGGTGAGTGGGGGCTACATCAAGGTTGGGGGAAACACAATTAAATTTATTAGGATGGATCTGTTCGACCTTGGATGTTACTTCGCACATCATGTACCTATCCTCGCCGTATCGAATCCTTTGCTCAAAAATTCGGTATGCGCATACGCTGCAAAGCAACTTTCGCGTGTTGGGGGGAAAAAGGCCGTTGTAGGAGGTATAAGCAGTGAGCTAGCACTTATGGAGCTCTACCCAGATTCGCAGAAGGTCGATTGGGTTTACATTGGGGCAAAATATTATGACAAAGCAATTTCACTGCTGATGGAGGAACTTGCTAAGTCGAGTGGGAATGATTTTCCGATTACTCCCACAATTGACGAACATTTTACTTTTCCGGGGATTAGTGGCTCACCGCAGAGCATTCCATCCCAAGCGAATAAACGACGGCGATTATCGAGGCCGGTAGACGCTGACGAGACTATTGCAGCTGCCGCTATACTCTGTGTTTATGAGTTCCTCGATAATGCCAATCTCGCCTGGTCTCGGCACCTTAGTGGAACTAAGTCCTTATTCGACCTAGCGGAAAGGGAAGGAATGATGCCTTTACCTTCACCAAGTACCCCGGGGTCGTCATCTTTTAGAACGAAGCCGTCGATCGCCAGGAGAGCTACATTTTGGAACTTTGCCCGTCAGGACTTCCTTGCAGCGTGTCAGTATAGGCATCCAACTATTTTTGATATATCTAATTGTCAAGCAGTCATCAACGAAGGGCAAACACGACTCAATACAGAAGATTGGGATCTCTGGCGAGCGGCTGGACTTCTCATAGATGATAGAGGATTTGTTATCCCAAGCAACAAAGAAACTTTAAATCTGGAGCCGCAGATATCTATGCGAGAAGATATGATTTCGAATGCCTTGATCTGGCTCATGTCGAAAATTGTCAATTTTATTGCCACCGGAGATTCGATTGACAACGTCTACCCCCAAGATAAAGGCAGCCCCACTGCTCTTTTTGGCATCAATCAAATGACTCTACTAGAAAGATGGCACGAACTGGCAGACGAGCTGGAAGTTTGGTACCAAGGTTTACCAAACACCTTCAAACCATGCGCTCGTCTACCAGCAATTTTGGATGGCAGTCTGCCGCAAGATTCACCCAGAGCTATATACCCGGAAATTTGGTATAGTATACCCATGTGCGGCTCAACCATGCAGTCGTATCATTTTACGAGGATACTTCTTCTCATCAACAAACCTCACGAATCGACGACGAAAAGAACGACCGTCTCAGATAGGCTACATTCTTATCGGTCGATCGAGGTGGAAGCTCGCCTTCATTCTCATGAAATTTGTGGCATCGCTTTGGGAAGACCAGAAGGTTCTGTGAGAATTCATCAAGTACAACCGCTATTTGTCGCAGGTCAGTGCTTAACGGAGTTAAAGGAGCGAAAAGTAATACTTGGTTTATTGAGGGGTATCGAGACTGACCTTGGCTGGGCGACTGATTATCGTGTCAAACAATTGGTGAAAGATTGGGACTGGCAGGAACCTTTGACGTGAAAGCCGATAGACCATATTAAGATCGTAATGGCGGGTTACTGGAGAATGAAATCAGGAACGGTTTGTGTGATATTATTTTGTTGACCCATGTTTAGATTATATGCCGATTTTTTCTATCAAATTATCGAACAATCTATCCGTCAACGTAATTTAGGCTACATTGTCACAGAACCATGTTTATTCGAAACAAACCTGATAATGAATGAGTGAAGATTCCATTGGTCCTGCCGGAACTTTCGTCGGATATCCATTCATCAAAGATAGATAGTTCTATCAATGCCTTGATCAAACCTATTTCTCATTACATTTGATACCAGGTCAGTCCAGTCAGAAAGCCACCGCAATGTGACCATGGGTGGCGGTGATAGAAACAGACGTACCGAATGGCACCACGATGAAGGTCATTATGGGTCGTATGTTCAATACCCATCGGCTCGAGCTCATCATCGAAATTCTCGCCTGGGTCATCACCGTATCCAAGATAGCCGCTATTGTGTTCAAAAGCCCGAATACCGGAATAATATCGCGCCCCATCGAGCGAATCAAGCTGCCATATCGAATCGACCTAATCATCATTTTCTCATCAAATCTAAGCATCTGAAAGAGTACCTTCTCACATCTCTGAAATCGCATATAGAGAGGATAGAGGAATGGTTGCCAGACGATGAGTATAGCTGCGATGACGACCACGACGAAGGCTCGCATAGTGTTAGTCTTGAGGGGAAGGATGACATGGATTGGCAACTTGAACGGGAGATTGTTGTACAGGAATATGTATGGAGCTCGGAAGTCTTATCAGTAAGCCAGGATGACGAAGAGTTGAACATTACAACCTCTGAAAGTGGTCATGAAACGCCTTGTCGTGGCGGGAACCTCACTGAAAGAGATTTTCCGGATGGATGTGAGGGTGTAGAATGGAATGATCAGATGGAGGCTGCTATTGGAATGACGAAGTCTGAGACTGCTCGGCATGAGCATTTCCTATCTCGGCTTGCGCTTTGAAATACAACAGATGGCAGCTCTTATGGAATGAACGACGGCATTCGAGCATTCTCTCCAATCTTTCTGATGATTTTTAATATCTCCGAGACCAACACACTACTCTTCACTTGCCTGCGTTGGTGCAGTCTGTTATACCTTAGAATGAGCATCTCTCTTGGGACAAAACATATATGAAGAGCTCTAATGACTCATCGTGATTCGTGAGTGACATTAGGTGGTAATTGTCGGTATAGTTATCTACTGTACCGGAGCACCGGCACCATACTAGCAAAGGGCTAGGGCAAACACTAGCGAAAGAACCTCAATACACATATAGTCCTTATTATATAGAATAATAATCAATAAGCTTTTTATGGATATCAACACTGAACACTCGTCGGGCTTTCTACCATCGTAGACCTGAAAGGTGTTCCCGTTGATACCAACACTTACCAACAGTAATAAACTTCCATTTTCTAACTTTCACAGTGTAATGTGTTTTTTTCAGCCATCTACATGCACTGATTCACCTTCTTCGGCAAAGGTTACATCATTTAGTTTCCCTGTGACGTTGTTGTGAGCTGTTGTGATCATAGCCTGCGTGGCTAATTCACTGAATTTGTGTCGCCAAGACGTTTCGCAAAATAATCTCCGCACCCGGGTTAGAACAACGATTCCGTCTTGTGTTCAACAGGAGAATCATCTATTTGAAGGCGTAATTCTTCTCTCAGGAGTGCTTCTACGACACTTCTAGTATCACATCTCATTCCGCATTTAAAGTCATTAAAGGTTCAACATATACTACAAACGCAACTGAAGATGTGTGTTACAGCTCTACTTTCTCCCGACACCATTCCGGCCGGAGTCCCACGCCAAAACAGACAGGATACACAAATCTCTCATGTCCCAGTCCCAGGACAACAATCTGCATCTACCAGTGATGCCACAGCCACAGCCCCATCCGGCCATCAACCCCCCTACTTCCCTTACGAAACCATCGGCCCAGTAGCCCACGCGCACTACACCCGCCCCACAACGACCTACTGGCAAGAAATCATCCCCACTTCCTCCATCCCATCTCTGCCCTATTCCACAGTTCCCCCTTATCAATACTCTTACGCCGCATCTCTTACCCCGTATACCAGTTTGCTTCTCCCTATTAGGCCTTTGGGCGCTACTACAGATAGTATCGCGGTATGTTCATTGGCATTACCACATGCTTCGATGACTGTTGTTAAGGAACTGGCGAGGATTGTGGCGAATAAGATTAGGAAGTTTGAGCCGGAGGTGGTTATGGGGCTGCCTACTGGTGGGTTGGTTTTGGCGCCTTTTGTGGCGGAGGAATTGGGTTTTGGTATGTAATGTTTTCTTCACTCGCGGTTCTTATCCTTGGGCTTACTCGATATCCTTATTCGTTTGGAATTATTATACTTAAGTGAGATTATTAGGATACGGCTAATACATAAGCGAGGTAAAGATCGCCACGTCCCTTGGGGCTACTCTCATAAACCCTGGTATGGCGACCAGCTCAGCACGAAAATCTCGTGTATTTTTGACGAACCGGATCAGGGGCCATCGGTCTTTCTTGATCCTAATCTTCTCTCGTTGGTTAAAGGGAAGAGAATAGCTTTGATTGATGATGTTATCAGTTCTGGGACTACCATGGCCGCCATGTTGAAGTTTCTAACTGATGAAGAGGTCACTGATGAAAATATCATGAGTCAGAAAGCGACGGATGATGAGAAAAAGCCACATCAAAAGAAGGAAAGTGGAATGGGTTTAAATGTTGTATGTGTAGGAGTAGGAATGTTACAGGGCGAGAAATACAAGACGGAATTGAGTCCGGAGGTAGTGGAGATGATTGTGGGTGCAGTCGAGAGTCCACTTTTGAAAGCGGTTGAAGGGGGTTGGGTTCCGAGATGAGAGTGAGGAGGCTCAAGGTTGCAGTTCTTGTTATTTAGGTAATTAAGGGAATAGAATTATATAGGGTATAGGGTATAGGGCATTGGGAATAAGAGAGATTTCTTCGTTGTAGGAGAGTCGTGGAAATACGAGTACTACTGATCTAAAATTGATGATACGATTCACGCTTGATTTTTTCTTAATATATGGTTTATTATCTACTCAGATGTGCACTCGCACAGTAGAGGGGGGTGCAACGCTTACAACTACTCTCAATCTAGTACTCACTACTCGGTGCTCGGTACTTTGTAAATATATAGATATCTCCTCGGCTCCAAATATCTCCGGCAATTATAAACTGGAGAACGAGCAAATCTGGAATATCAGGGTATGGCGCGGTGTGGGTTTTGGGATTATTGCGGATTTTGGAAAGGAAAAGGAAATGGGAAAAGAAAGAGAGAAGGGGGAGAGGAGGCGGGAGGAAGGTGGAAGAATGATGATTCAGATAAAAAGGGGCAGGTATTGAAGCTGTGTCGAAGCAATAGATTATGATAGCGATGAAAGTAATCTGAAAATTGCTACATTGTAGTGGGTATGAAATAATGAAGAGATGAAAGAATGAAGAAGGGAGCCAGTTTTTTGACGGGATAATAATCACTTGGAGATGAATTCGGGGTTTTTTAACAATAGTATCTGGTCCATATGTATACTCATACTGCACTCCACTCAGATTCCCATCTCCCTCTCCTTCTCATCTTTCCCATACCACTCTCAGCATTAGTAGCTATGCACACACCCAGCCCAATAATCACAATCACAATCCCACTCCACCGCCCCTTCCCATCTCCCCTTGCAACCTCCCCAACACCTCCTCGTACTTCCTCCCTACTCCCCACCTCCCCGACACAGCCAACAATTTTTTCCCTTCCCCCAGAACTCTCCTCGCTCCCCTCCCGTTCCTTGCGCATAAATCGCCTACCCCCATAATTAATGCCTTCATCCCCTGTCCTCTCTTCACAAAAAGCTGAACTAATTCATCGTCGGCTGGTCTATCGAGTTGCATTGTGCTGGGATAACATTCATTGATTTGTTCATCGTCATCATCATCACCATCATCATCCTTTTCTTCTTCTTTTCTTTTTCTTTCCCCATCTCTATCCCTATCCCTCCCACCCCCTTCATCACCTCCTACTCCGCTACCATTACCATCCCTATTCCCATGCCCCTTCTCCCTCAAGTGACGAAGCGCAGAGGAAGAGTGATGAGCCGATGAGAATTTGGATGTAAGAGAAATAACCGTACAATCCGCAAACAAACCATAAGCCCACAGCGCCAACGTCGCCAAATAAACCGCTTCAACCTCATAAAACGCATCAATTGAAAAACGTCTTACGTGCCAGAAAAGTGCTCCTGCATGAATGATAGCTAGACGGGCTTTATGTTGATCTTCCGTTACCCATCTCTTAATATATTTGCGCGTTTCGAGGATTTCTTTTTCTTTTCCTTTACCCTTTGTGGTCGGGGTTGGATTTGAAGATAGAAATTCTGCAAGCTTTGAAATATGTTGAAAAGGCGTAAGCAGAACCACCCTCGCCAGATGCAAATGCAACACGGTAGGATGTTCCATTCCGCTCGCCGCGCCAATCACACTATTCGCATGCCAATGCAAGATATCCAAACAATCGCAAGCCGAATTGCGCCAATTAGTATACGTCTGTATACCGGGTAGCCAAACCGGAGATGTACCCACCCCCGTAGCATTTTGGAGGTTTTGTTTCTCGGCTGTGGGAGTCCATTGCGTTAGAGGTTGTTTGAGATAATTTTCTACTTCCCATGTGCGCCGGAAGAGGCCGTGGATGAGGAGGATGCGGGAGAATTCGCCCATGGAGGATTGGATACGTTTTTCGGTGTACATTCTTTGGAGGGCGTTGTGGAGAGTGGGACTTGCTATGGGGTGGTTAGGTTGTGATGATTGATGAAGGGGTGATGTGATACGTACAAGAAGAACAACTTAGAAGTTGTTGCCATTCAATTGCAGATTCTGATTCCCAAAGAACTTCTTGGCAGGGTAAAAGTACCGAACTATCATCTAGTGATAAACTGGGACGAAGTTGGAAATGAAAATACCACATGCAATCTAAGAGCTATGAAGCTGTCAGAATTTTATCCATAACACGAACAGGATACATACCCATATACAATACCCAGTCCTTCGTACACTTTCAGCATCATACCATTCTTTCCAATCCCTCTTAGTCTGATCCATATCGTTTAGACTTGACTTTGCTGTTTCAATTCTTGAAATTTGATTCGAAGCTTTCCATTCATTACAACAGAAATCGATAAGATCCCCATGATATGATTTTGCTACTTGTGATAACTCATCACACCCACAATACATCATACCTACACAATTAAGTAGTTTAACTTGAATCATAACCATCTTGGTACAACTTGAATCTCCTTTGATCCCGACGGAGATAATTGCACGTCGAATAAATTCATGCATAGGTTTTGCATAACTGGCATTTCGATGATAATGACTTCCTATAGCCGCCATAGCTAGAAGAAAAAGCCAATGAGAAGTCGAGACATCAAAGGAGGGTAGGTGAATAAATGGTAATGTCTGATGAAATGAAGCGATATAGTGAGCTATAAAGCGGCTCAATATATGTGAAGTTGGAAATCGTGTGTAGTGGAATGGTATGAAGAAAGGCGAATTACTGATACATGTTTTTTCGAATAGATCCAGGATAATATGGTAGGTTTCGTGCGGTATTTGCTTGTAATCTGAGGAATATCCGTCACTATTATCGGTAGCCGGAAAAGCAAAACCTCCATCTAAATCATCTATCGTAGGGTGAGATATTGATGGAGATAAATCAGCTTCTAGTGGAGTTTTTCGAACATGAGGTAACCTCGAGCCATGTCCATCAACATAATAACGACCAGTACTTTGAGTATCATGAGAGTTTGGACTTGTCGAAGCACCTTCACTAGATAATGTTGGTCCTGGGGAATTATCCAATTGTATGTGACCTTGTGTTTGTGGAGATGGGGTAAATATTGCCGCGCTGGTTGTTGAATATATAGAATGTCTTTGAATAGGATTTTCTGCAGTATCAACAGCAGGAGAGAAACCATTTATATCCGTCCCAGCATCAATCAACCCCATATCATTGTCTTCGAGTTGATAGTCCGGAACCCAGTCATACGGTAGCCAATTTATAGACGACAAATTATACTGTGTCCAAGATCCAGCACTTTCTGGTAGACTCTCAGAAAGACCAGTATCTGGAATGTGTAGTTGATTGGAAATCTGACCTGTTCTCATCAATGAGGAGTTGGTAGCTCCATCCAGATCCATCATTGAATGAAGGGGTAATAATGATGATGAAGTAGAGAGATGATCATGAGATGTTGTTGAGTTCCTGTGAGCATCTTCGGACATTACATCTCCCATTTGATTGTTTTGTGATGTACATTGACTGAATTGTTGATGAACACCAGCACTCAAATCTTGGATATTCATCTGTTGTCCAGTGACTTCTAGATTCTCCATCCCAAACTCTGGATGATAATGACTGATCGAAGTTCTAGGATCAATTTGCGGATTGACTGGCGAATTGATCTTTGACCACGACATTTGAGACTGTGGACTCATGATTCGTTCCCCGGTTTCGTAAATTTCAGCCCCAATCATCTCATCTGAAGGTGCATTTGAAGATCGACATCTGATGTTTGTCGTGGTAAGATTTGAATGGAAAGAAGTACACTCGATTGATCTTCTCTCACATCCTTCACAAGGATTTCCACCACTACATTTCCTCCTTGCCATTGCACAAGCGGAACAAGCTCTAGCTCCTCTTCCTAGAGAACTTCGTTTTGTTTTCTTATGAACCAATTCATGTCGACGTAAAGCATCACTATAGATATTAGAATACCCAATAGACCCTCCATTCCGAATCGCACCACGAATACCAGTTGCAAGAGAGAGAAACCCCCCCTTTTGCATGAAACACCAATCTTGGCCAATACCCACAGCCAAAATAAACACACAACCAACTCACATCCGATAAAACCGTTTCCCACACCCCCCAATCCCACATTTCAACCAACCCTCCTGAGTATGACTTCTCTCATGCCTTGTCAAATGTTCCACCCTCCCAAAGGATTGTCCACAAACCATGCATTTGAATCTTCTAATTTTCCCCATCTTTGCTTTTGAATTCGGACTTCGTCTTTCGTCCTCAATCCCATTCTCATCCTTACTCTCAGCTATTGAATTGTCAGTTATGTACATCTAACCTTATTTGTACGAGTACCACATGCTGAGAAAGCGATATTGATATTAAATCGAAGACTCACGCATACCGGTAGTCAATAACTCAACCCCGAAAGTTTCCTTACCATATCCATCACCATCACCATCACCGACTCCACTAGACCGATCATCTACCGATACTGGCATCAATACCCTCAATTGAGACTCCATATCCACATCCACATACAAACCCATAACAGTTTATTTCTTTCCTGCTAGTCCTTGCTCTTGCTCCTGTTCCCTCAATATTCCATTCCCTTGAAGTCTCAACAAGCAAGAATATTACTCTCATTTACTTGCTTATCTTCCTCTCTTTCCTCTTTTTCACTCCACTCCACTCCACTTATCTTCTCTTCTCCTTTCCTCTCTTCTCCTCTTCTCTTCTCTTCTCGTCTCTCCTCTCCTCTCCTCTCCTCTTCTCTCCGCAATACCTCGAGCTCTCAAGTCTCTAAATCCAAACAGGTGATATCCCAAATGTAATTGCAAATTGCAAATGCAAATAAAATCAACAACCAGTATCGAGTTACGTTACTCAACTATCCAACTAATCTACTCAGAGCAATCCCGTATATTCATCCATCCATCCATCAAACCACGTGCACGTGTATAGTACCTGCCACCTCAACCTTTCCCGTTTCCCTTTTCCCCGCTTCCCCGCATCTCCGCATAACCTTCCTCCAATGAGTCCAATAAATCCAATCTAATCTCACCAATCCCACCAGTGACAAATCCCACCAAATTACAACCCGAAATCCCACTATTATCGCTTGGCCTGGAGAATCGAGATAACTTAACTTATTTACGGAAAATCTCACACAAACCCTCACAGCAAACAAAAGCATCAAGTATACTCAAAAATCTCGAGTATATATATACTCTAAAGAAAGAAAGTACCTATCTCTCCGATATACTTAACTATCATACTATACATACTACATCAATCCATCTCCTATCTCATATCAGCTCGAATACTCCCCCATTCCATCTCTTACAGTAGACCGACTTCATTCGACATTTACAATCCTCGCACATACTGGTACTAGCCCATCAATTCTCCATCCATCTTTTTATATATGCATGCAAAATGCAAAACCAGCTTTGCCATATTTTCCCATTTCCGTTTCCATGTCCATCTCTATTTTCCTTCCCTTCCCCTTCCCTCCCCCTTTCAACATGTATTCATACATATCCATAATCCATAAAACTCCATGCTAAACTGCGAAATAGTACCACCTCCCAGAATGCCGCCAAGATATTAATCATTCATCAATCATCTCCTGTATTATCGTAACATCGATATAGTACAACCATTTATACAGTTCTTCTCAGTCATATCTCAAACTTCATACATATATACACCATTGATACACTTTTCTCCGTTCCCCCACTTCATTTATCAGAGATAGTTTCCCCCAAATATCCCATATCATCCAAGAAATCCGCCAAAGCACTTCTCCCCGTCTCTTTAATGCTATCATTGAATCCAGAATCGCGAGGATACGCATTATAACTCGTGGTTTGCGATATCGAAGCTTTTCGTATGGTATGCTCAGAAGCATGTTCTTCATAGGGTAAACTATACCCAACAGATTTCCTCTTTTCAACCTCTGAAATCATTGGGTTGTATGTGAAGGTATCACCGGTTTCCTCATTTAGATCGCTTTCATCATATGAATCAAACATTGACGAGGTATCGCTGAAACCAAAATGACTATCGGTAGGAGAAGTAAAAGCTGTTGAGACGGTGGAGATCGAAAAGTGAGATCTCGGTAGTATCAAAGATAGATTAGGTGGAAGAGGTGATGAAAGTGGAGATGTAAATACATCAGCTGGAAGTTCTGGAATTGGTTTAGAAGTATTGGAAATTGGTGATGCTTGTCGGCGAGATGGCGCAGGAGATAATTGAGTAATGCTCTTATTATCTCCAAAGGTAAATTCTTTAAATTGTGTGGTAAAGTTGTCATCATCTTCATATTCTTCAGAAATTTCCTCGGGTATATCGAGAACCACAAGGTTATCGTGAATGGAATCATGCGCTCTGGCAAGAGATGGTGTTCTTGAGCGTGATTCGGAGCGGCTTGGGCTAGGCTGATGGATAGTGTTCGAGTTGGATGAATAACTACTTCGTGTGGCAGCTTGGCTGATATCAGGATCAGATGATCGTCTTGGGGCAAGTGGTTGATTCGGCGATGAAGGTCGTGATCGGCGGCCTGAAAAGAGTTTTGTTGCCCAACCAAGCTTTCCATCTTTCGACCAGGAGCATGGTTTTTCGGAGACCTCTCCATGTGGTGATGATGAAGGAGCAGATCGTGCAATATTTGGCTTTGTTGGAGGAGCACGAGGAGTCATAAATTTATCGGCGGGATTCATTGTTTTGACTTCTGTGATATTTATAGAACCCACGGAACCGCTTCGAAGTCGTAGCGGCGGGACTTCAACTGGTATCCAGAGGATATTGACTGGTTGACCTGGCATATAAGGACAGGTAGTGGTGAAAGGTATGGCGATGTCATGGACTTCGATACCATCGTCAAGCTCATACTGCATATCATTGTAAGTATTTTCACCTCAGTGTCTGGGCATTAGTCTTACGTAGTAGTAATATGTTGAAGCCATCTTCAAACCACCAGCTCTTCTCATTAAACTACTTCCATCACCATCACAAATGATATCATCGAATGTGTGGCAACCTCGCCATTGCTCACGAGACCGTCTCGAATCTCGTTCCATTGGATATCGTTTAGTGAAATTATCCCAAGATCCAACAAGATGAACTGATTGTGTTCTTGGCGTTGCTTGACTAAAGATTTGTAAAAATTAGTTATTTGATTGAAAATTTCTTCAGTCCGTGTGGACATATGATATTCTTATATCCAAAGACATTCCCACTACACATCTTGACAATGAAGAAATCACAAACTCTAATCAGAGCTGCATCTTGTACGATAAAGCTTCGAGAAAGAAAATATGGTCACGATGAACAACTCGGCAAAGCAAATTCGATTGACCAAGCCTATGAGGAAAGTGCATCTAGACTCACAAGAGCAAGATGAACACCTTGTCTTAGACCGGAACGGAAGACACCCACGAAGGCTCAAATGGCCAATGAGTCTGAATATGAGTGGTAAACTTTTCCACGTCTCTTGCCCTTTTTGCTGGTACAAGAGCAAAATGAGCATCTTGACTTGAAATGGAAAAGGGTAGCATCGCAAAGGCTTTCAACGGTGATCGAGTCTGGACTTGAGTGGTAAATGTTTCCATATCTCTTGCCGGTGATTTATGGACCAAAGATAATGACCGGTAATTATGTGAAGAAACATAGTCTCTCTCATCCAATCGTTGTATCAAGGGATGATCAATGCGCATGCAGAACACGTGATAAGATATTGAATTTGAGTTTAGAGAGGAAAGGTAAATGATTTTAACTCACAACATGAATGTAATCAGAGTAGTGTCCATAATTTCGAAGGGAGGTTGGTTGAAGAAGAAACAAAGTGGGTATAGATAGATTGGAGTTTTCGGGGAGGTTTCAATAGTTGGAAGAGCGGTACATCGTTCGAGTATAGATTTGAGAGGGGGATCGTCAGGAGCCGGATCTGAAAGTTTATCTGATATTACCAAATTTCTGAAATATCTTTTGAGATCTAAATGTTCGTCCAATTCGAAATCTTTGATGTCTATTCTGGTCTTTTGAAGATAATGCTTTCTCTTCCAGTGGCATTCGATGCGAGTTTTAGAATCTGCGGAGCCGCGTTGACAAAAACCGGTATAGAGGTACGCCCGAGGTTAAGGATGAAGGAGTTAGAGAGATGAGAACCGAGATCTTATTCGTTGATGTATGGTTGGATGATTTGATTGAAGTGAATTTGAAATGTTGAATAAATATAGGTAAGTACAAAAGGCTTATTGAAAGAGAAGGCGTATATAAAATGAGAGTTGAAAGAAAGTACTCGAGTAAATGGGAAAGACCAATTGATACTAGGTACTCGTAGAAAACGCCCCAATTCGGAAATTGCTTCGAGAAACTAGAAATTTAATAAGATGGGAAGAATTTGGCGTAGAAGTCGAATTGATACATAAAGAATAATAAACGGTACTAATTGTAGTCGTGAGTTTATGGATACTGATACTAGGTAGTTAACGGGTGGATGCGCCGAGCTGGGTTTGACGGGGATCATCTAGTACTTGTATATCATGTTACTAGTAAATAACTAGCAGTATAAAAAGTCTTCAGCTGAAAATGGAAGAATCGGAGAAGTTTTTGATTATGATATATTAAAAGTTAAGAAAATATGAGGAAATATCAAGGAAATATCGAGGAATTATAAGTTGTAGTCTGTAAGTCCTTGGTAGAATGGGTGCCAGCCATGCATAAGTGGCGCAAGTATTCCTATTCTAGAATTGAGGCTTGTTAACTGGATTAGCTGGATTAGCTGGATAAAGCTGATGAATGATTAGAATACGAATAGAATGGAACAATAAAATTTACACGTACATACTTTTTGTCTTGAAACCGGAATTGGAGGCTTGCAGTATATTGCATGAATTGAACATGGATAAGAGGAGTCTTTTGACTTTTCCCCCTCAATGCCTTGATATCTATCTACTCCCCCCCTCCC